TCTTGGGTCTCCAACTGCTGTTCTAACCCTGCAGATTTTGAACTTATCAAGCATCCAAAATTGTATAAACCAGTCCCTTTAATCTCTCTCTCTCTCTACTCTATATATCTCTCTCTCTCTATATATATATATATATACATATATATATACATACATACATACATATACATGCCTACCCTGTTGGCTCTGTTTTTCTGGAGAACCCTAATACAGCAAGGATGTGGAGAAACTGGAACCCTCATACGCTCCTGATGAATATGTAAAATGGTTCAGCTACTGTGGAAAATCAGCTGGTGGTCCCCTAATTAGTTTCAGTGTTACTGTATGACCCAGCAATGCCACTCCCAGGAATATACCTAAAAGAACTGAAAACAGATGTCCAAACAAAAGTGTGTGTAAGAATGTTCACAGCAGCATTGTTGACAATAACCAGGAGATACAACCCAAGTGTCCACCAATTGATGGATTAAATTGATGAGTATGTGGCATATCCATACAACAGCATATTATTCAATCATAAAAAGGAATAAAATTCTGAATGCTATGACACTGTGGAACATTGAAAACACTATGCGGAGTGGAAAAAGCCAGACACAAAAGGTCACAGATTGTATGATTCCTCTTACATTAAATATCCAAAATAGGGAATTTATGAGAGAAAAAGCAGATTAGCGGGTGCCAGGAGCTGGGAGTAATGGGAGTGACTATTTAATAGCTGGGGGGTTTCCTTTTAAGGGGATGACAATGTTCTGGAATTACATTGTGGTGATGGTTGTAAAGATTATTTATGAGTGTACTAAAGGCCACTGAATTGTACAGTTTAAAAATGACTAACATGGTAAATTTGTCACATGGATTTTGCATTTAAAAAAATGTGTTCAAGTACACACAGGAAAACTCATAAATTCAATTAAACAAATTGAAGTTGTAGAAATGAGCTTTTTAAATTAACAAAAACAAAACAGTGAATCAGGAATTAAAGGTCCTAAAATAAACTATCTATTTAAACCATTACAATAAACATGTAGGCTTGTGGAACTGCAATCACAAAACAACTAAAGTTCTGTCTCCTGTCCCTTAAAACCCAATTTGTGGGGCTAGAGCATCCCCTAACTCTAGAAGAAAACTTCAGCCCCCCCAGAATCTCTAGTCCATGTTATTTCATCACCACCATTATCCCGTGGTCACACTGATGGTGCAAAAGCATCTCAATTCAGAAATGTAAATGTCCAATCCCATATTATGATCAAAATGGCTTATCATTTGCAGTTGAGGCTTCTTGGGCACTGCTACAGGGGGGAAGCCAGCATCAGGGAAGTGAGGCCTTCTTTGTTGATCAAGGTTTCTGATGCCTCCAGGGATAGGGCAGTGAGAGGGAGGAAAGGAAGGTGCGCCAGGAGAAAATCCTTACCTTGAGGTGGTGTGGGTATTGGGCACTGGCCCCACAGAAGTTTAACTTCTTTCTCCTGTGGGCTCCTCTGACACTGAGTGGCTCATTGTCTTCCTTCTGTCAGTCATCCCATCACCGCTCCCCAGAGATCTGTCAGGGGTGATGCCTCCCTGCTGGCTCTTTGCTTTCTGTTCCTTCCTCAGCACCGTGAGCCAGTTGACCTGTGTGAGGAGATCCCTCACCTCTTGATCAGGCTCTGGGATGACCCAATGCTGGTTCTCTTGCAAAAAGCCCACTTCTGGGTCTTGGAGACAGGCATGCATCCTGTGCCCCAACAAACTGTAGGCGTAGAAGCTGCACCCAACTCAGCCACCTCTTCCTTACTTCATTAAAGCCCCTCGCCAGTCACTGCCATCCCATCCTTTATAGATTCTTCCAGGCAGGGGTCTGTCTAGTGCACTGGACTGTCACCCTAAGGGGGACATTGAGGCCCTTTTCCCTAAGCCTTCAGGTAAGAGGCAGATGGCATCCACTACTCTCCCTTGGGAGACCCAAAACACATCAACGGCTCTCTTCAAAGAAATCCCCACCAAAAATCCTCTTCTTCAGCTGTAACCCAATTCTTTCGAACCCTCAATGTGAGTGAGGGAGTTTAAGACAGCTACAGGCTTTTTTTTCACCACCGCCATTATAAATAGAGCATATGGTATAGGTAAGTAGTATCTATTGCTGTCTTCCTAAAAACATCTATCTTAGCTTCTTGTTACATATGTATTTAACCTCTCTTCATTACTGAATACAGTAAAAGCTACCACTGAATTCCTAATATGTTCCAGACATGGCACTAGGCCCTTTTCACTAACAGCTCTTTTCAAGTTAATAAGTATGTTTGCGGCTACAATTGACCCTTTAACAATACAAGGGTTAGGGACACCAACTCCCCATGCAGTTAAAAATCTAGATAACTTTTGACTCCCCCACAACTGAACTACTAATAGCCTACTGTTGACAGGAAACCTTAGAGAGCCTACAAACAGCTGATTAACATATATTTTGTTACATGTATTCTTACAATGAAGTTAGAAAAAAGTACTTTTTCATATTGTTGCAAATCTCCAAAAACTTTTCCAATATATTTATTGAAAAATCTGTGTATAAGTGGACCTGTGCAGTTCAAACCTGTGCTGTTGAAGGATCCACTGTACTTCATCAATTTCCTAACTAAAAATTCATACTGAAACTGGCATTTAAATATCTAGGGAGTACATTATCCAGGTACTGAGTTTATTAAGATTTTCAGTCAGAAGAAATATTCTGAAAGCCTAGGCATAGAACTTTAGATCTGGAAAGTTCTTCAGAAGTTACTTGGTCAATCTCATTCATTTTCTTTTAAGCAGCAGCTGAGACCCGAAAAGGCTGAGGGACTGGTCCATGGTCATCACAGTGAAAGATCAGAAAATATAAGTTATCACTTGCCACACTGCCTCTTGCTCATGAAAAATATTAGATACATTGATTCATATTAATTTTGATATTTATCAAACCAGTGGTAGAAATTAATTTTTAATCCAAAATTACTTTCAGGATCTACAAAATTCAACAAACTGGGCTTTCAACACTATATAAAGCTATATAAATCCTAATCTACTGTAAGGGAGAATAATGGATTCTTAATTCAATCTATGTCTCAAAGAATAAGAATGACTTTTAAGTGGAAAATCCCATGGAGGTGGTGATGAGAAATGAGTTTAGCCAGTTGAATGGATCTAGGAGAAAGGAAGATAGCACACCACGCTGGAAAATAGCTTTTTATTAACAATCTCAAATAAACCAAAAGCAGATTGCTTATGCCCAGTAAACTGTGTTTACCTCCATCTTTCTAGTCTTAGAACTCTCTCTTGTGATCTGATCCTTATAGACTAAGATCTCCAGAGTTTCATATATGCCTTTTTTAAAGAAGTATGTAAAGCACAATGGTGATATTATTAATCCATCTAATACTACTCGGAACCTAGGACTTGACATTCTCAGACTTTAGTCCTGCATTTTTCTCATGCAAAACAACAATCATAAGCTTTTAGAGCTGGCAGGGAACCTGGAAATCTTTTAGTCCCATACCACATTTCAAAGATAAGAAAACTGAGGCCCAAAGAGGGAAGTACCTTGCCTGGGAAGGTCACACAGGGAGTTAATGGCTCTAATCACAAAAGTTAAGCATTTTGACAGATTCATGAACTCTTGGGTAGTTGCATCGTCAGCTCTGAGGACCTCAGAGTCACATTTTGTAGCCTGAAGTGCTAATTAAACTAGAGGAATTATGGACTTACTATTTATAGGTAGGAGTGAAGACATTAACTAGGCCATGAAACCTGGGGACATAGAAGGAGATCCTGTCTCCTGAGATTCACATATTACATTCAACCTTTCTATTTTAAGACAGAATTTGGGTAATGCAGTCTCATCTTTCCTAATTCTGGATTTCAACTTGTCTTGAAGGACCACAGCTTGCCAGTTTTTTATATTATAGGATAAATGGGTAACCTCACTTCTGACAAATGCTGCCCTCACCCAGAGGAAAGGTTAAAACCATCCTTCCAAACATACCAATTGCTTCAGAAGTACTTATTTCAAACTGCTTTCTATTATTCTGAGTTTAAACCAATAGCAGTCAATATACGTTCACTGAATTTAAAAGTGGAGAGAAAGAAAACCCACAGAAATGTTTTTAAAAGACATACCACTCGGGTTTGCAATTCTCTTGCATTTTTTCTACTTTTAAGTGTTCAGAGTGACTTTGACTACATTGCCAAAATTAAGTCTCTCTCAGGAGGTCTAGTGGTGTGAACAGAAGCACTGAGATCAAAGAACTTCCAAGTTTTAATCTGTCAGACTGTGTGGTACTGAGGAAAGAGTCATTTAACCTCTCTCCATCAGTTCCCATTTTTATACAATGAGGATAAAACTATGGAGGTACCTCTCCTGGGTAATGTGTAGACTGGATAATTAAAGCTAATTAAGCCCCTGGAAAGAACCAGAAAATACTATGTAAGTGCTGAGTATTTATGGGCTGCCAACAGTCACAAAACTCCTAAGGGACAAGATTGTGTGCAGACAGTACAATCTCTATTGGTGATTACTAATTACCCACTGCTCACAAAGCAGTGATGTTCAGTGCAGGGTAGTCACAAAGGACTGGGTGTTCAGTGCAGGGTAGGGAAAAGAAACATCACACAATGTCATTCAACAACACCATCTTTATTCAAAAATATATATCTATGAGACATTTTAGAATATACTGCTGCCGCCAATGACAGCCTATACTTCTAAATAAAGTCCTAAATTAATATACAAATTTAAGCTTTAAAAATATTNAAAGGAAGGCTGAAGACTATCTGAGGAATATGACCTAAAGGAAAGGTCCTTTGAGGCCTGTGGATGTCCTAAGTGTAGAAGGAAAGACACAAGACAAAACCACCCACCCACCCCGCCAGATCATCTCATCCGTATAGGAGAAAGGAGACAGGTTCACTTAAATTAAACAAATGAAGTAAGCACACTTGGGGAGGATATGGGAAGAATTAAGGTTTAAAAAACAAAAGCATTTCACTTAAAAATAAAAAACAGTAACTTCCTCAAAGGAAGTCTGCTAGTAACAGGTGTTAAGAGGCCAACACATCCATTTACATAATTGCTAGTTTCATTTCTTGCTCTTGCTGTAATAATTATGCACCGATCGCTGGTCAGACTCAACCAGATAAAACAGAGTAGTGGGCGAAATCCGTCATGTTATAACTTACTAGAGCAAATATCTATTATACCTTCTGGTTGGTTTGTGGGTAATAAAACGTTGCTTCCTTGGTGAAAGCCTCCACAACATCCAGATGGGTCTGCTGAGGAACAAGCTCACGTGTGGGGCTACAGCACACCAGAGCGGGAAGGGGCCTGTGTGCAGACAGCCAAGACTCCTATTTATCTTGCAAATTTTATTAAAGTCACCTACTGCCGTATGGCCTCTGGGAGAAATACTTTATTTATAGATACAGACTCATTAATTAAAAAATGACAGGACAACAGGCAGTGCCAATAAGCAAACAACACACAGTCCATATTCAAATCTGAAAAACAGCTTCAATGCTACTAAGGTTCTACAAGAGTTCAACTGGACACCTGCTGTGACCCCACTGTTCTCACTTCATGGCAGGCAGGAGGGCTTCTTGAAGGGAAGCCTGTGACGCTTATTAAAACATAGGTTATGCTGTGACATGTTAAACATGTAAAATCACATGTAATTGGCTTTTTGGTAATCCTGAAAATAACAATTCAGAATAGAGATTCTGAAGCCCCCTCCACTGAATTCCTTTTTACAGCACTTGGATTTCAGTCTCTAGGCTATCAGTCCTATTACACTATTGGGGCAAATTGTTTTCTGCCCTTTCCAATGTCAAAAATAAGCCTGCCAAATGAGAATGACTTATAGTTAGCAGGCCTAACCTTTACTAAAAGCAAGATAAAAATCCCCTCTACATTATTTAGTTATGTCAGCTGGCATAAAAATGGAATAAAAACCTAAATGAATACCGCTGACTTTCCCCCTTCCTATGCCCCAGATGAGCTATTCAGTAACATCTGATCAAAAATACTCCTCCTTCCATATGCACAAGGACTCATGCAGTGGCAGGAATTGACAGACAGACAAACATGCACAGAGTACCATTTCTGCAAGGGAGATATTCAAGTTTAGTCACTGTATGTGGACATGAGCCCACACAGTGAACTCAACGTTAGTGTGTGTGCCCTACTCTCCAAAAGATAGGGCCAAAGCAGTACCCGTGCAGAGCCCAGACTCAATATGCATTCAGCTTGCGGGCCTGCCACTGCCATTACTAAGAACCACCTTCACAACCATCTGCGGCCAAATGATTGTGTTCTAACGATTCTCTGTGACAGTGAGGGGACCCTTGTTATCTAGGTATCAAGCAGCCTATAAAGGTTGCTTATAGGAATCTGAATCAAGTAACTTATATTAACTCAGGCTTGTGATCCCTGCTACTCTGTCTCTGAACTGTGACTTTATGTCCCACACCAGCTCTGAATGTAATTGCTAGATGATTCTCTAGTCTGCTTACAAAACAAACACACCTCACCTCTGACTACATATCACTAGAAGTAAGGGAGGGTCAGAGATTTGGCAAACTCTTTATGGCAAAGCTGCTCAACAGATGTGCCTCCAGCTTTTGGGGGGATGTCAGCCAGGAAAGTCAATGGCTCCAGAGCGAGTCCCTCAGTGGAAGCCTGTACTGAACTTGAACAAGCCCAGCTCAGAAAGGAGAAGCTGCTTTCATGACAATGCTGTCATGAGGGACAAGATTCCTCTGCAAGTTTCCAGAGTACACACAATTTTCATAATTTCTTGGGTGTAAAAAGACAGTTAAGGATGGAAAACCAACAAGGGCATGAAAACACAAAGTAGATGAGTTTGTATTCTTTCCAAATATGAATCTCAACTGGACTCCACTCACCACTGTTCTGAATTGTGCTCAACAGGAGAGGCCAGAAAGGAGAATCAGTCTGTGGTTCTTTCTTGAGGCCAGGGGACTAGATGGAAGGAGGTATAGAACCAGGGGCCACAAGGTTATTTCCAACTATGACTTGCCCTCTTCTTTCTGCTGGTAGAGATGGGATTCTGGGGCATGGCACCTGCCCTAGTCAGTTGAAAACAGGTCACCAGCAGAAGGCAAGGGAGCCAAGCCCCCTGTGACGTTGGGCAGCAATGAGAGGTCTGGCAAGCTCTGAATATGGGACTTCAGCTCCTTGCGGACCTGGGTTACCCGAGCAAGCTTCTGTTTATATTCCTAAGGAGAGAAAGAGAAGGCAATGCAGTTAAATCTGTGTTGTGCTGATGGTCAGGCATAAGGTGCCAATACAGATACTCTCACCTTCCCATTCTATTTTCTCCCTATCAGATCACCTCTTTGCCATTCAGCTAAACTACAATGCTAGGGTTTTCAAACTCTTAAAGATAAAAAAAATTTATACCTGAGTAACTGCAGATAAGTCATTGATTAGGCCTTATAATAATCTCCCCTAAACATGCCGCACTTATCTTCCAAAGCCCAGCTTTCATCAAGTCACTCCTTTGAGAAAGTGAAGCATGGTAATGCACTATCTCCATGAATGTTTAGAGCTCAAGGTCTTTAAAATCAGCTCCTGCCCAAATGTATTTCTCACAACTTCCCGACCCACTATGCACAGGCCACCACTGCACGGGCCATTTGTTCAGGATACCCCTCAAGCCTGAAGGGATCTCTTTCATCTCCTAGCCCAGCGAAGTCCTGACTCTACTCCTCTGCCTAACGGCTGAGATCCCATCTCAAGGAAAATCTTCTCTGTTCATCCAGGAGACTGGTCCCCATCTTCACCAGCTCGGAGGCCTCCTATGCATTGAGCATGCATATAAGCGCCCCCCCCAAAAGGCTGCTTTTAGGTTGTCTCTCCATACATGTTGGACTTCTATGTTCCTCTAAAATATGACTCCCCTGATGACAGGAATTTGGTATACTACTTTCTTTCCTCAGGTCCCAGCAAAAGGTATCCTTGGTAAACCTGCAGAGTAACAACCCTGGGCAATGTGAAGTTGGTGGTTTGTGGCCTCCTTCGGGGTTTATCTTTTTTCCTCTAGCTCTATCATCCACCCTAAGTATTCCTACAAAGAGAGAAAGTTACCGAGGCTGGGTCCTGCTGGCTGCAGCATCTCCTGCAGGGATGGAATAGGAAGCACCGGGCTGAGACTCCAAGGCCCGGGTTTAGTCTGGGCTCTAACTTGCTGCGGGACTGTGGACATGGGATGGAAGAGAGGTCTTCCATCACCTCACCTTCCTCACCCGAAAAGGAAAGAATCAGACCAGGCTTGAGGTTCTTCATGTTTTAGATTCCCTCCTACCAGACACCTTATAAGCACCTGAAGCACAGGTTTAGGGGCATGAGCTTAAGCACTCCTGGGAAGAGTGATAAAACAGTAAATAGGGAAAACGAGGAACACTCAGTTCAAGCTGTGAGGACAAAGTACAACAAGGAGTAGGACAAGGGAATCCGGGGTGCGGGCAGGGAGGCTCTGCCCCCACACTACTGCAGGTAGGCAGTCTTCCACCTGAAATGAGAGCTGCTCACACAGGCCATCAAAGGAAGAGACAAGGAAGAATAAGCTTTCCTGACATCCCATTTCTTTCCTTGCTAGACTTAATGATCAAAACAATGCTTATGGAAATTAATAATAACTCTCACATCAAGTTGGGAAGCTTCAGGTGGTTAGGACCAGACCCATTTCCTTCAAATGGCATCACCATGACCAGTGGTGTCCTGTAGACAGTAAGTGTCCAACACAGTTGCCCAATGAATTAACAATAGATGAAACATTATGTCCAAGTACACACTAAGTAATCACCATTCGTTTTTGAAACTGAAAACGAATTTCAGATCTGAGCATCTAAAATATCAAGAACCTCTGCCCTTCCCTCTACATTTTTCTTCTTTGGTTTTATATACTTCATGAAAAAATTAATAATATGTTCCACCGAAGTCCTCTCTTTGGGCCACTCTGAAAACCTGCCCATACCTCATGCCACTAGGTTACTCTTTTCATAGATTTCTACTTAAAGAGCAGGTACTTTAGCCTGAGAGGAGGGCATTACTAGAGAAAGGATGAGAATGGAACTGTCACTGAAAACTGAAAAACACAGTTACAAGATACAAGGTTAATATACAAAAGTCAATCACTTTCCTACATACCAGCAATGAAGAAGTAGAATTTGAAATTAAAACACAATTCCATTTATACTAGCACCCAAAACAATGAAATACTTAGGTCTAAATCTAACAAAGTAAGTACAAGAGGAAAACTATAAAACGGATGAACAGAGACAGAACTAAATAAATGGAGAGATGTTCCATGTTCATGGATAGGAACAATCAATATTACTTAGATGTCAGTTCTTTCCAACTTGATCTACAGATCGAACAAAGTCCCAATCAAAATCATATCAAGTTATTCTGTGGTTACAAAGTGATTCTAAAGTTTATATGGAGAGGCAAAGGACTCAGAATAGCCAACACAATATCGAAAGAGTAAAACAAAGTCAAATGCTACCTGACTCCAAGATTTACTATAACACTACAGTAATCAAGAAAATGTGGTACTGACAAAACAATAAATAAATCAGTGCAGCAGAACAGAGGGCCTAGAAACATAATACACATAAATACAGTTAACTGATCTTTGACAAAGTAACAACGGTAATACAGCAAAGAAAAGATAGTCTTTTCAGCAAATGGTGCTGGAACAGACACCCATATGTAAAAAAATCAGATCTTAAATCCTTTACAGAGTTGTTTTTTAAAAGAAGATTCATTTAATGCAAAATGAATCACATACCTAAATGTAAAACACAAAACTAAAACTCTTTGAAGATAACAAAAGAAAGTCTAGATGATCTTTGATTTGGTGATGCCTTTTCAGATATAATACCAAAGGCATGATCCATGAAAGAACTGATAAGCTGGACTTCATTAAAATGAGAATTTTTTGCCCTGCAAAAGATACTGTCAAAGAAATGAAAAGGCAAGCCACAGACTGGGGAAAATGTTTGCAAGGGACATCATATGTCATTAGGGAAATGCAAACTCAAACATGAGGTACCACCATATACCCATTAAAAACAGCCGAAATCCAGAACACTGACACCACCAAATGCTGATGAGGATGTGGAGCAACAGCAACTCCCATACACTGCTGGTGGAAATGCAACATAGTACGCTACTCTGGAAGACAGTTTGGTGGTTTCTAACAAAACTAAACATACTCTCACTACATGATCCAGCAATCATGCTCAGTGGTATTTATCCAATGGAGCTGAAAACTTACACCATAAATAAACATAATTTTTTATAATAAACATGAACACATAAATTACTATAGCAGCATTTTAAGTGCCAAAACTTGGAAGAAACCAAGGTGCCCTTCAGTAGGGGAATGGACAAACTGTGGTAGATTATTATCCTGCACTAAAAAATGAGCTCTCAAGTTTGATTAGGTCAAACTGAAGCTACGGTAATTTTATAGTCCCCTGAATATTCAGTAGAGTGATTCTGTGATCTCCCACCACCCTTTTTAAAAATATATTGTCTTTTTCCAAATTAAGTCAGCATCTGTATCAAACACTGTCATGACCAACAAAAAATTAAGATTGAACCCAAACAAAACTATTCTCCAACTCCAGCCTTCACTTGCCCCCCAGTTCTCCCTTTTCTTATTCTCCCTTGGTGGGATCACAGCACTCCCTCACTAGCTGCCTTTCCAGTTATTGTCTTTGGTTCTGGATGAGTAAGAGAGACAAACATCAGGAAAATCCAAGAATCTTTTCTCTCAACCAACCAGCTGCCATCTGACAAGCTCTGCTGCTATAAGGTTTCAAACTGTGCCCTCAGCTACTACTGCTCTCGGAAAAAACCAGGGCTTCTTTCCATGATACCACTAAAACCAACTTTAACATGATGAGACCCATTCCAATTCTTTTGACTCATTTCAGTGTACTGCATCCCACAATCTCTTTAGTATACCAAGTACCACTCAGGTAGAGAAATGTTATGTGGCAAGGTGGTCACATGTTCCTTGTTTAAAATACCTTACACTTGTGTATAATGGAGGACTAAGCCTTTAATCTCACTCATGTTACCCTGCCTGGTGCAGGAATTCGAGCGATTAGGACCTGTAGGACGACATGGCTGCAGCGTTCTGCTCATCAGTCTTCCTTCCCTTCCAGCTGATTCACCTCAACCACAGTTCACGTGGCTCTTCTTTGCACTCGTCTTCAGATCCTTGCCTTTCCTCTCCTACCAATCTTAGGCAAGATAAGACAAGGCAAATCCAAGTAGTCCTGTTGCTGCTTTGCCTTCCCTGCTCATGCGCAGCTTATGCTGGGGTGGAGGCAGAAGTGAGGGGTTGAGCTGAATCTTCCATTCAGCTACACGCACCTACTGCAGCAAATCCTACCTCACCCCAGAGGGACCGTGGAGAGCCGTGAAACAGCTAAGAGTCCTGGCAGACTTGCTGCTGCTCCCCTCTGTTCCGGGTCCTCCAGGAGTGGCAGAAGGGGGAGAAGCAGGCACCTGTGATAAACTGCCTGGGTTTACTTGACTGCCCAGAAATGTTTAAAACATAGATGGTAAGACCCAAGGGAGTTCTGAGATATGCCTAGGATTCATGCTCCTGGCAAAGCTCTGGAATCTCACCTCAAAGACTCTCCACGCGTGCAATGGAAATGTGTCCAAAGCCCCCTGCTTCCTGCGGATCCGGCTGACACTGTGTGAACACGATCAGAGCACTAAGACAACTGACTGAAAGGAGCAAGGCTTACACATTCTTTGCCTTTTTTGGTTAGAGCAGTAAGCCAGACCTGACATGCTACAGATAAGCTCTGGGATAAGAGGGTTAGAAATGACTGGGACTGACAATGAAATGCTGTTTCTACAAGAATTTTATTTTCGAAACCAACAAAAATTATAAGCATTTCCTCTAGCAACTCCTGTACGAAATACTGATCAATATATAAACATTGTCAAACCTATTTTTTTCTGGTTTTGTAAGTATTTACATTAGAAAACACCACAGGCTTGATGAGACAAGATTTCCAGTACCAAGAGTCATGTTTTCCTTTATCTTACCCTGTTGTGCTATAGGACATATGGTATATAAAAATTGCCCACTACTCAGCTACTCCCAATTAAGAGTCATAAAGGGTTATTATGCACGAAGCAGTTTATGAAGGGTCTGTTTTAAAGGTGACCTGCAACACTGAAT